AGAAACTGATTTGTATTTAACATTTGTAGCATGGTCTTCTGTATTCAGAGGTTAATCACCCTAAGTTCAGCGAGCTTCAGAAGAAAGTTTCTAGCTGGGTATAAAATGTTAGGTCTGTAATTTCCTGGATCCATTTTTTCTCCCTTTTTTGAAGATGGGAACTACATCAGCTCTTTTCCAGTCCTCTACTAGTTCCCCAGTGCTCCAGGATCTTTGAAAAATATAGTTCAGTGGTTCTGAGATCACATCTGCCAGTTCCTCGAGAACCTTGGGGTGTAATCCATCTGGTCCTGGTGATTTGAACTCGTCTAGGCTGGACAGGTGCTCACTTACCATTTTCTTGCCTATCTTAACTTGTGTTTCTATTCTGTTGTTTATGGCACTATTTTTGGTAGGTTGGTCTGGTTTTTCCCTTTGTGTAAAGACAGGTGCAAAAAACGAGTTAAATAGTTCTGCTTTCTCCCTGTTGCTTGTCACCTTCTTGCCAGTTTTACCCACTAATGGAACCAATCATTTCCTTCACTTTTTTCTTGTTTTTTACATGTTGAAAGAAGCTTTTTTGTTGTTGTTATTTTTGACTTTGGTCGCAAGCCTTAGTTCATTTTGAGCCTTAGCTTTCCTCACTTCATCTTTGCAGCCTCGGGCTATTTGCTGATATTCTGCAAATATTGACGTCATTCTGTATTCCAAGAGAAATCAATTCAGTGAAATGTCTATGGAGATTCTCAGTCTATCCAGGTCATGGTTGTCCCAAATGTCTTCAAAGAAAAAACAAGTCCAGTTGCCTCTTGAAAAAAGCACCTTTGGGACAATTCAGTGAAATGTTAACGGCTCCCTAGAAATTCCCTGCCTAAAAAATATGAGAGAATAATTTAGCAACGATTCACAGACACGCAATGCTTTGGTGAGACTTGAGTTGTTACCTGTGGAAAAACAACAAGCGTTTTAATGCTTGTGTTTTCAAGTTATTTGTTACAGAGTAAAGGGAATACTTGTGGGACGTGCATTTAGTGCAGACTGTAATTAGAAGCCAGGCAAAAGTGTTTTGTTTTTTTGTTCATTGCTGTTATTCTGTTTACACCGTGCCATGATTGATAACATGAGGTCCGGTCCAGTCGGGACTCCTGAATTCTATTTATTGGGCTTTCATTCATTTCGATAATGGCAAACAATATGTGTATCTCGTTGATATCTCATGAAACTGTGTGCGAAGAATAGGATGGGGATAGGGATAGAACAGAACAGGGAATAGAGTAGAGTAGAATGAAGAATAGAATAGAAATAGAATAGGAATAGAATAGAATAGAATAAATGGAGTGGAGTAGAGGTAGAGTAAATAGAATAGAAGAATGAAGAATAGAAATAGCATAGCATAGAATAGAATAAGTGGAGTAGAGTAGAATAGAATAGAGTAATGTAGAATAGAATAGAATAAGTGGAATAGAGTAGAATAGAATAGAGTAATGTAGAATAGAGTAATGTAGAATAGAATAATGTAGAATAGAATAATGTAGAATAGAATAGAATAGACGGAAGGGACCTTGGAGGTCATCTAGTCCAACCCCCTGCTTAGGCAGGAAACTCTACACCATTTCAGACAAATGGCTGTCCAGTCTCTTCTTAAAAACTTCCAGTGTTGGAGCATTCACCGCTTCTGAAGGCAGGTTGTTCCACTGGTTAATTGTTCTAACTGTCAGGAAGTTTCTCCTTAGTTCTAGGTTGCTTCTCTCCTTGATTAGTTTCCATCCGTTGCTTCTTGTCCTGCCTTCAGGCGCCTTGGAGAATAGCTTGACTCCCTCTTCTTTGGGGCAGCCCCTGAGATACTGGAAGACTGCTATCACATCCCCCCTTGTCTTTCTCTTCATTAAACTAGACATACCCCAATTCCAGCAACCGTTCTTTATATACCTGAAGGTGTAGTTGACTCCGGATTATTATGGGAATTCCACATTGGGGAGAAGGCTGCCTTGACATGAGATCACATGATGGTGCTGGGTGACCAGAAGTGATTCCATCCATTTTTTATGTTGATCATTCCCAAGGGTATCTACCGGGGAGTCAGAAAAGTCAAGAGGGTGACCACAGCCATACAATCAAAGTCCCACCCTGTTTTACACGTGATGTAACTTTTTTGACCCCCTCCCTGTACTACACCTAGCCCCCCCCCCGACTTACAGCCATTCATTTAGTGACTGTTTGAAGTTAAGACAGCACTGAAAAGGTGACTTATGACTTTTTTCCCCCCATTTAACTCTGTTATTTAACAGTTTTGCTTTCGTTCGTTCACTTTTTTGAAGTCTTGAAATCTTTCTCAACTTCGTTCCCCTTGGCTTTTTTTCAGCTTCTTTGTGTTGGGCTGTTTTGTTTGTTTTTTTTAAATCTTTGACTTGCCCATTGCTGTCAGTTCGATAGACTTTTGTCTAAATCCTTTGCAGACAAAATTAAGTGTCTAAAAGCCGAGGAATGATGCTGTGTAGCCTAATTGGCAACATAAAGGCGGCGAAGGGGCTGCCCTACCCCCCCAATTGATACCTGCACCTTCTCCTAAATTTAGTTAAAAGCAATATCATTACAAATAAAATAAACTGACATAGTGGCGGATCCTACATGAATACGGTTAATTGCAAAACTCTCCCCTTAGAATATGCAAACTCTGCATTATTTGCACCAACGCTGATAAATTCTTGGTTGAGGTTTTTGCCTGAATTGTCATAAAGACTCAGCTGTATCACAAAAATATGTTGTTGTTTTTTTAATTTTGAAAACGGGCATTTTATAATAAGTAACTCAAGGCTGGAAAAGATTGAAGATCTCTGGCCGTGCTTTTTTTTTTTTTAGAATTTTTCTGCTTCTCTGACCTTCTTCTGTAACTTCACAATCTGTATTTTTTGCTTCAGAATCCCTGTCCAAAACCCGGTCAGATTCCGTCCTTTTTTGCTAACACAGAAGAAGCAGATAATCGAGGTAATGTTGTTCGAGTCTTTGGATGTGTGTGTGTGTGTGTGTGTGTGTGTGTTTGGTTTGTTTCAAACCTGTGCTTTCATGAGTGAAATTGTCTTGTGTTTTAACGGGTTTGGCTTTCCAGCGAAATTCCAGATAAAGTGCTTTTAAGCACAGCTTGGTATCTGTAAATGGAAAAAGCCGAAGGGAAATTTGCATAATTCATGTCCCATGTTGTAAGAAAGAAAGAAAGAAAGAGAGAAAGAGAGAAAGAGAGAGAGAGAGAGAGAGGGAGAGAGAGAGGGAGAGAGAGGAAGGAAGGAAGGAAGGAAGGAAGGAAGGAAGGAAGGAAGGAAGGAAGGAAGGAAGGAAGGAAGGAAGGAAGGAAGGAAGGAAGAAAGAAAAAAAGGAAGGAAGAAAAAAAGGAAGGAAGGAAGGAAGGAAGCCAATCCACAGTCCAAATAACGTTACGGTCTGTGGGAGACTTTTTTTTTTTTAAAAAAAATGTCTTTATTGCAGTCTGAAAACTGGAATTGTGGATTTATCTGTGTTACAGTCAGGTTATAATATTCTAGGCAGAGTCAGGTATGAGTAAATCCATAGGTGTAGCGAAGCGTGAGCATCTGGAAGAGAAAATTAGCCGATGGAGGAGGAGTGCTTAGGTTGCAATGTACCCCCTCCTCAATAAATTTCGAGAGTAAGAATAAAACCGGACAGGATTTTACCATAAATCAAGATTAATTAATAAGGGTGTGCAGCATTTTGGATTCAAAAGCAAAACCATGCTTTGGAGCACAGAGTGCAAGCATAAACCCTATTTACAGCTCCTTTAAGCAGCTCTAGAGAGCCATTTTTGTCTAGTGGTTTAGGCACCAGGCTAGAAACTCGTGTTGAAGGAAAAGTCTTCATCGTGGTTCAGTCCAAGCCGGGAATAAACATGGCGACTGCTTTAGAAAGAAGGTTGCAGTTTATTGAAGAGGAGAGCCAAACAGAAAGATGGCTCTGGAAGAAAAGAGGGCGAGCACATGTAGGGATTGGGTTTTTATACCTTCTTGAGCTTTTTGTTTGGAGTTGTTCCTGTGGCATGAACTTTGACCTGAGTCTGAGTGTGCCTTTCTGGTATCCTGATGGTGGTGGGTTAATCCTAGTATGTCCCAAAGGTCAATCCTGCTTCCCTGGGGCTGTGGCTGATAACTCTTAGATTTTTGGTGTGTTGATTCTAGGGATCGCTTTCTTCATAATCCCAGTTTCCTGACTCCAGTCTTTCTGACAAGATTATCACATCTGCATTCTGCAGACTTGGTTTCTGTTTGGGGGAGGGAGACTTGGGGGCGGGGTTGGCTTCTGCTTTTAAAATCCTTTAGGGAAATATATTCTGCCCTTTTAAATATTTCCAAAAATATTTCTTTCTCTGGGGGGGGGGCTGACTTCCCACACTAGCCTGCACTAGAAACTAGGAGACGGTGAGTTCTAGTCCTACCTTAGGTACGTTGGGCCAGTCCTACCTTGGGTACGTTGGGTGAACCTTTTAGAGACCATGCTCCCCAAAACCACACCCACCCACCCGCAGGGCCACTCACTACCTCCACGGCCCACCACAGATGGTCCAGGTGGCTCACCAGCGCCATGGTGGCCATGCCCTCCGCCCGTGCCCCGCAGCATTATCTGCGCGTGACGGGGTGCAAGGGCGGAGTCGTCCTCGCTGCCCGGGTGCCGTGTCCTTGGTTGCGCTGCTCTGCATGGGCCGCGCCCGGGGGCGACTCTCCTCCGGGGGGGCTGTTGGTGAGGAGGGGTCCATGGGGGGAGGTGGGGCTGGGGCGACAGCGCGCGTGCCCACAGAGAGGACTCTGAGTGCCCCTCTGGCACGCGTGCCATAGGTTCACCACCATGGTCTTAGGGGCAAGAAGACGGAGCTAGAATGTTAACCCCGCTAAGGATCTCTTGTTGGTGCGGCATCCGTCTCGCCCAGTTTCACGCGTGACGCACCTGTTCAGCTGCTGTGCTCAAGGTGAACGCTTGCGGTTTTGTCTCCATTCAGTGACGCTCCTGCCGAAGCCGCGTCTCTATGAAGGAGGGATCTGCTGAGGGATCTGTTGAAGATGAGGCGACTGAATCGGAAGAAGACTTTGAATTTAGTGAAAGAATTGGACGCCTTCCCGAAGATTCCAGACAGCTACATCGAGACCTCAACGAGTGGAGGAACAGGTGAGCCCGGCGGATCGGTTTGCTTTGTGCTTTGGGAGTAGAGATAGTCCTCAACTTACAGCAGATGGTTTAGTGACCGTTCAGAGTCAACGACGGCACTGGAAAAAAAGAGATTTATGAGCGTTTTTTCACACGTCACGGCCGTTGCAGCGTTCCCCACGGTCACGTGATCAAAATTCGGATGCTTGGCAACTGACTCATATTTATGACGGGTGCAGCGTCCCATCCCGTCCCCCCGGTCAAGAGATCCCCTTTTGCGACCTTCTGACAAGTCAAGGGAAGCCAAATTCACTTAACCCGACAACAGCAGCGATTCCCTGAACAGCTGTGGCAAGGAAGGTCGTAAAAGGGGGCAAAATTCACTTAACAGCTGACTGGCTTAGGAGCAGAAAATTTGGGCTCAATTGTGGTCGTAAGTCAAGGACTATCTGTAGAATCACAAAATGATAGAATCACAAGGCTGGAAGGGACCTTGGCGGTCTTCTAGTCCAACCCCCTGCTCTAGCAGGAGTTTTTATACCAGCCTAGGCCAGGGGTAGGCAACCTTGGCTCTTTTATGATTGGTGGACTTCAACTCCCAGAATTCCTGAGCCAGCCATGCTGAGGGGAAAGGGAGAGTTTCCAAGCTGAGCCATGCTGGCTCAGGAATTCTGGGAGTTGAAGTCCACGAGTCATATAAGAACCAAGGTTCCCCACCCCTGCCCTATATCAGGGGTCTTCAAACTTGGCCCTTTTATGACTTGTGGACTTCAACTCCCAGAATTCCTGAGCCAGCATGGCTCAGCTTGGAAACCTCTCCCTTTCCCCTCAGCGTGGCTGGCTGAGGAATTCTGGGAGTTGAAGTCCACCAGTCATAAAAGAGCCAAGGTTGCCTACCCCTGCGCTAGACTCTATAGAATCACTTAGTCTATTAATGTATACTTTAAAGCGTATAGCTTCTCCCAGTCAATGCCATTTTTATCTCACTATGTACTTCTTCTTTTTTAGTTTCTCTAATAGCTTTTACAACCATGGCTCTCTTAACCATAATGGAGTTTACAGTCTATCGAGACACCTGGATGAAATACGAGTATGAAGTCGACAAGGATTACACTAGGTAATACTTTCCCCTTCAGCTTGTATTGACTGTACGTGACTTTAATCTGTTTTTGTTTTTTTTTAAAAAACAATCTTGATGCCTTAAGGGCCACCGTTTCAAAATCCTTACATTAATTCTTGAGATCTTAATAACAGGAACACCAGGTGGTTAAGAAAAAAAACCACAAAAAAACAAAATTGTTATGCATCTCCTGGGACATAAGGAAGAAGAAACATGCTCGCTCCACCTTTGAAGCGGGAGGTAAAGTAGATCCAAACAGATTTGTTTAGGAATAAAGCTTTTAAACAGTCAAGCTGTTTAAAACCGAGAAAGCTAGATTATCCCAGAAGCTCATTAGAGAGATTTAGTAAAAAAAAAAAAAAAAAAGGGGTGGCTTTACTGTATTTCACAACTGCTTATGTAAATAATAATAATAATAATAATAATAATAATAATAATAATAATAATAATAATAATAAAGTTGGAAGGGACCTTGGAGGTCATCTAGTCCAACCCCATGCTCAGGCAGGAAACCCTATACCATTTCAGACAAATGGCTGTCCAGTCTCTTCTTAAAAACTTCCAGTGTTGGAGCATTCACCACTTCTGGAGGGAGGTTGTTCCACTGATTAATTGTTCTCACTGTCAGGAAGTTTCTCCTTAGTTCTAGGTTGCTTCTCTCCTTGATTAGTTTCCACCCGTTGCTTCTTGTCCTGCCTTCAGGCGCTTTGGAAAATAGCTTGACTCCCTCTTCTTTGGGGCAGCCCCTGAGATATTGGAAGACGGCTATCATGTCCCCCCTCGTCCTTCTCTTCGTTAAACTAGACATACCCAATTCCAGCAACCATTCCTTATATGTTTTAGCCTCCAGTCCCCTCCTGTTTATCAGTGAGTGTAATTAGACAAGTCTGCCTTGATGTCATTTTATTTATATTTTATTTTATGTTTTATTTTATTATATTTATTATTTTATTTATATTTTATTTTATTCATATTTTATTGTTTATATTTTATTTTATTATTCTATTCTATTTTATGCTATTGTACTCCGCCTTTATTATTTTTACAAATAACTCAAGGCATGGGAGCTGTCCAATCTTCCTCCTCCTAATTTTTCCACAACTCTTGTGAGGTGAGTTTGGCTGAGACAGTGGTACTGGCCCAAAGTCACCCAGCTGGCTTTCATGACTAAGGCGGGACTAGAACTCATAGTCGCCTGGTGATTGGCCCAAGGTCACCCAGCTAGCTCTCATGCCTAAGGCAGGACTAGAACTCACAGTCGCCTGGTGATTGGCCCAAAGTCACCCAGCTAGCTTTCATGACTAAGATAGAACTAGAACTCAGTCTCCTGGTGATTGGCCCAAGGTCATCCAGTCAGCTTTCATGCCTAAGGCAGGACTAGAACTCACAGTCGCCTGGTGATTGGCCCAAAGTCACCCAGCCAGCTTTCATGCCTAAGGCAGGACTAGAACTCACAGTCGCCTGGTGATTGGCCCAAAGTCACCCAGCTTTCATGCCTAAGGCAGGACTAGAACTCCCTGTCTCCTGCTTTCTACTCTGGCGCCTTAACCACCAGACCAGAGATAGGCAACCTTGGCTCTTTTACGACTCGTGGACTTCAACTCCCAGAATTCCTCAGCCAGCCACGCTGAGGAGAAAGGGAGAGGTTTCCAAGTTGAGCCATGCTGGCTGAGGAATTCTGGGAGTTGAAGTCCACAAGTCCTAAAAGGGCCAAGGTTGCCTACCCCTGCACTAGACCAAGCTGGCAATCCTAAGATCTCCCACTCTTGATTTAAGAGGAGACTGCAGCTCTTTCAGAAGATACAAATAGAAGCTCCATCTGTTCTCTCTTGACAGTGTTTTGCCAACGCTCATTTCTGTTCTTACGCTCCTTTTGTCAGTTCTGCCGAAATCCATTCAAATATCTGCCTTGGTATTCTGGGAGCAATTTCTATTTCAGTGGAATACCGTTTGATTTCTGGAGAGGGGAGATATTTATGGCCTAACAGCTGCCTCTTTTTCAGCTGATTTTGCTGCCTCTCAGAAGAGGGACCAGTTTAAGCTCATCCCACAGCCCTTGTTAAAGCATTAGAAATCGGGTGTGGGATATCTCCACAGCATCTTTTGTTCACAACCCCCTCCCCCTCCAGATTGAAACACAACTTGTCTTAACATTTGTTTTCCAGTTAAGTTGTTGTTGTTAGATGCGAAGTCGTGTCCGACCCATCGCGACCCCATGGACAACGTTCCTCCAGGCCTTCCTGTCCTCCACCATCTTCTGGAGTCCATTGAAGCTCACGCCTACTGCTTCAGGGACTCCATCCAGCCCCCTCATTCTCTGTCGTCCCCTTCTTCTATTGCCCTCCATCTTTCCCAGCATTAGGCTCTTCTCCAGTGAGTCCTTCCTTCTCATTAGGTGGCCAAAGTACTTGAGTTTCAACGTCAGGATCTGGCCTTCTAAAGAGCAGTTGGGGTTGATCTCCTCTAGGACTGACCGGTTTGATTGCCTTGCAGTCCAGGGGACTCGCAGGAGTCTTCTCCAGCACCAGAGTTCAAAGGCCTCCATTCTTTGGCGCTCAGCCTTTCTTATGGTCCAACTTTCACAGCCATACATTGCAACTGGGAAAACCATGGCCTTGACTATACGCACTTTTGTTGGCGGGGTGTACTCCAGTTAAATACAGTATAATCAATCCATTCCCTCATCTCCATTGATCTTCTTTAAATATCCCAGTTCTTCTCGGTTCTGTCAGAAACCAGGGGTGGGATTATGGAGCCCTTCCCTTCAAATAATGCATTTCCTGGGCTCTTTTTGTGAGTTCAAATGATAGACAGGGGTGGCAGTTGAGCCAACCTTACCATTGTCAAGGATATTTTGGGTCATCACGATAGGGGGGGATGTCAGTGTCGGTGTCCTTCTGTTTTATAAGGGCTTGAGGTATGGGTGTGTCACATGTCAAGGTAACAATTTAGAAACTAACCAGCTTGTATAATGTGAGATGAACGATGCAATGTTAGGAATGATTCAGCAGGAGTGTATCCCTTTAAGAACTTGAGTATAAAAGGGAAGGCTTTTTGCTGGAGTCTTTCTCTGTCGTCCCTTTCCTGCTGTAATTGCTGTGTATCGGAGTTTGCTGAATCACCACGTGCATGTATTTTGTTCCTAGTGTACTTTGTGGATAGTGCAATATAAGCCACCATTTAATATGAACCACTGTTTACTGTATTTACTCCTGGGTTACCTCAGCGCAATAAGACTGCATGCTCTGACAGTCAAGGATATTTTTGGTCATCTGATAGGGGGATATCAGTGTTGGTGTTCTGTTTATAAGGGCTTGAGGTGTGTGTGTGTGTCACATGAGAGTCTTGGGCCTTGTGATGGGGAGGTTACATCAGATGAGGGTCAAGAGTCAAGACCCATCACAGGTCCCTCACTGATGACTCACACCTCACCGATCACAAGACCCTCACTCAACACTCCCACATCTCAAGCCCTTATAAACAACATTGAAATCCCCCCTAAATTTTACTGAAGATGTTATTTATCCTGGTAATGAAACGTTTGGAAGCCTAACCCACAACCTTCACCCTCACTTCTGTTTAAACCTGGCTTCAGTTTCTAACAAACCTAGTTTATCCCTGGTTGGTGTAGATATCTCCATAACCCTTAATCATGTTTGAAACTGGCAGAAAGACCCATAGAGATTCATGCTTTAAAATACAATCCGTGGCTGGTTCTGTTGTTCATCTTTTTTTCTCTTTTTTTTATTAGTTTATAATATACAATACAAAAATAGGAAAAATAGGGGAGGGAAGAAGAGACGGGAAAGGTGTAGGAAAAGGGGGGGAAAAGAATAAGATAATAACATCAAACCTCAACTTTTTACTTTTACATCATAGTATAAACCAGCCGTTTCTATAACAACAAATCTATCTAATTGGTAAACCCAAAATCAAAGTTTCATATATTTTTTCCACCTCAAGCACAAAGTCCAGAAACGGTTTCCAAGTAGAAACAAAAGTAATTGTGTGTTTTTTTCTTTTATCAAAGCAGACAATTTAGCCATCTCTGCTAACACCATCATCTTTTGCAGCCATTCACATCCAAGGTGTGAGGATCAAAGTGTCCTTCCATTTCGGTGCATAAAGTAATTTTGCTGCCGAACATCAAAGTTCCAATTTTTCCCCCCAAGTCTTTTTCCATTAAACCCGAAAAAAAAGTCTCTGGTTTTATCTTTATATTCACTTTGAGAACCGTCTGTATTAAGATGTGAATCCTACTCGGATATTTCTTTGCCTGTTGTTCAGTCTGTCAAGCTGGGAGTTTACATGCATTTATTGGTCTCCTGCTGGTCTGTTGTGTATGTGCGGCCTGTTGTGTATGTGCCTTTGGGGCAGCAAGAACATCTTGCATCTCTGCAGGAAGCTGATGTAATTTTTAACACTTTTGGAAATAATAGTTGCTTGTTTAGAATCTTTGTGTTGTCGTCATGGAGATAAACAAGCAATGTCTGCCTCAGCCAGAAACCTATAGGCAGTGCTTGCAAATTTCAAGATATAACAATCATCGGTAAGAGGTCCCAGTGAAAAGCATTATTTTTATGGATTTTTCTTTTCTTTGCCTTCAGTTAAAAAGGATTGTGCTGCTCCCATTCCCCATGTTGCATCAGAGTTCATAAATGTTTTGATTCGCGCTCTTCAAATACTCCAGTGTTTCTTCTAAAAAGCACAGCATGTCTCTATCACAATCATTTGATCATTGTTTATCGCTGTTTCTTCAAAAAAAAAAGCACAGCATGTCTCTGTCACAATCATTTGATCATTGTTTATCGCTGTTTCTTCAAAAAAAAGCACAGCATGTCTATCACAATCATTTGATCATTGTTTATCGCTGTTTCTTCAAAAAAATCACAGCATGTCTCTGTCACAATCATTTGATCATTGTTTATCGGTGTTTCTTCAAAAAAAGCATAGCATGTCTGTCACAATCATTTGATCATTGTTTTATCGGTATTTCTTCAAAAAAAAGCACAGCATGTCTCTGTCACAATCATTTGATCATTGTTTATCGGCGTTTCTTCAAAAAAAGAGCATGTTTCTATCACAATCATTTGATCATTGTTTATCGGTGTTTCTTCAAAAAAAACAGCATGTCTACAATCATTTGATCATTGTTTATCGGTGTTTCTTCAAAAAAAGCACAGCATGTCTCTTGTCACAATCATTTGATCATTGTTTATCGGCGTTTCTTCAAAAAACAGCATGTCTCTATCACAATCATTTGATCATTGTTTATCGGTGTTTCTTCAAAAAACAGCATGTCTCTATCACAATCATTTGATCATTGTTTATCGGTGTTTCTTCAAAAAACAGCATGTCTCTATCAAAATCATTTGATCATTGTTTATCGGTGTTTCTTCAAAAATAGCACAGCATGTCTCTATCACAATCATTTTATATCTGGCTTTAAACCAGGGTGTCCAACCTTTCTTGGCAAGGTTAAAGACTTGTGGAATTCTGGGAGTTGAAGTCCGCAAGCCTAACATTGCCCAGGTAGAACCCTCTTTCTGTAGACTAAAAACAGGAGTTGAGGCCTTATTCTTCAGACAGGAAGTTCTCTGTTCTCTTCCCAAAAATAGAATTCAAGGCAGATTTATCTTGTGGAGTTGAAAAAAAAAATCTGTCTTTAGATGGAAATGCAAGTTGGGTTCCATGCTTTATTTTTCCCTCTCTGAATACAAGCAGAAGTCCACCAGGCGAAGTGGTTCACACCCAGGTTACCAAATTAAGGCTCTTAACAAGGTTGATTTCTGGAGTTCTAATTGGTCTCTGAGGAGAAGGCTTGATGCTCTCTAATTAAATCTAATTAAATCCCAACCTGTTGCCTTCCAGATGTTAGCGTTCCTCACTGGCACCTCTTAGAAAAGGGCTAGGTTGGAGAATATTCTCCTAGCAAAGAGTTATAAAGGATTTGGGATCCCAGTTTCTCTAAATCAGGGGTCTTCAAACTTGGCCCTTTGATGACTTGTGGACTTCAACTCCCAGAATTCCTAAAGAATGGCGATTCACTTAATAAGCGTGGCAAGAAAGGTCATAAAATGGGACAAAATTCACTGAACTGTCTCGCTTAGCAACAGAAAAATTTGGCTCACTTGTGCTCTAAAGTCGAGGATTGCCTGTATCACGCGTCATAGAATGACACTAGTACATGCCATGACAAAATTAACACCTTTGTCTTTTCCCTTTTCTAGTAAATTAAGAATAAATGTAGACATCACGGTTGCAATGAAGTGTCAACGTAAGTATTCTGATTCGGATCTTTATTTTAGTACAGGGGTGTCAAACTCAATTTCATTGAGGGCCGCATCAGCATTGCGGTTGTCCTCGGGGGGGGGGTAGGTGTGGCCTATTGGGTGGGCATGGCCAGCTCTACATCGTTCGCGTCAAGGGTGCCTGTGGGGGCCTGGGCAGGAGTGGGACAGATCTGAGGGTCTCCGGCAGAAGGGGGTGGGACCGGGGCAAGCGCCAAGGCATGGTCCACTGGAGGAGCCTGCTGAAACCCCTCCACTGGAGCCCATCAAGCCGGATATGTGAAGTAGGCGAGGACCATTTGCTGGCCACTTACAGGCGATGGTGCATTTCTTCATTCCTCACAAAGGGTGACCCCTCCCCAGCATGCACCCAGGGGACGGGGCCGACGCGGCAGGAGCTGGTTCCTCGCTGTTTCCAGATGGCCTTGTGGAGCTAAGACTGAATGCATTTCAGCATAGACGGCCACCACAAAATTGTACATTGGCTTCCGGCTGATTTGGGCCGGGGCCAAGGCAGCGGGGGCCGTTCCCTCACTGTTTCCAGAATGGCTTCGCAGGCCACATGAAACCACGTCACGGGCCACATCCAGCCCCCGGGCCTTGTGTTTGACATGTCTGTTTTAGTACATTAACTATTTAGGCTAGGCTGACATGTTACTCCTGAACACAAGACCAACATCAAATAATGCTACACGAAATTTCTTGCTTCTCTCTTTGGCAAGCGATCTATTGCTATTAGAGCCTCGATGGCTTAACTTAAATTGGGACACGTGTTTATTTCCTAATATGGGTAACAGTTAACATCCATGAAAATGACTGCCTCAGACTGTTCTTTTTTTCAACTTTTTCATTGCTGGTAAGAGTCCGATGGTTAGAAAAATACAATCTGATTCAGGATTTGTTTGTTGCCAAAACAACAGTCAAGTTGAAACAGGGCCAATTAACCTGTTGCTTAGCTTGAATAGGCGAAAAGGTTACGAAAACGTGAACTTTGATTTCACTTTAAATAAGCATCATTTCTGATACACAAGTGGCATAGATATTTATTCCACTTATCTGTTTTGGGCTTCTTTAAACTAAAATTGGGTGATCCCAAGAAAGCCACAGATATACACACAAGTTGTTAGAATTCTATAATAACAATAACAATAACAATAATAATAATAATAATAATAATAAAGTTGGAAGGGACCTTGGAGGTCATCGAATCCAATTACTTATCAGAAGTTTAACCATATTTAATTGGTTTCTTTTCAGCTTGTAAGGAGAAGTGTGATAGCTGGTACAATCAATGGCTTTGAAAAAAAAGTTACTTGGATTTGTTATCATTTCAATAACTATCGGGGTTACTGACATGGTTGACTTGCTGTTGGGAGAATGAATAAATTAACATCTTTATAATGTACCGAGGAAACATCATTCACACTGAATTGTTTAACATAGTTCTTGCTTTCTCAGTAGTGTAATTTTTTTTCATTAGAGTTATTTTTTTCACTTGGAAATCATGAACCTTGCGTGACACATACAACTTCCTTTGATAGCCAGATAACAAATTTGGCAAAAATAAAAGTTTTGTAGCATCTTTAGAACCAAGTTTATTGTTGCACACATTTTTGAAGATTTGCTCCATTCTATGAAGCAAATAATGCAGATTTATTTGAAAAAAAAATGTATAGATTATACAGCTAAACGGGTGTTTACTCCACTTACCAGATTTGGGCTTGTTCAAAATAAAAACATTTAATCCTAAGAAAGCTATAGTTCTCTCTCTTTCTTTCTCTCTCCCTTTCTCTGGAATAGCTAAACTCTTTGGAAAATAGCACTACAAAGTATTTTCTTAATGCTGTCATTATTGTGATATTGATTTTAAATCTAGAAAGGGGATTTTTGAAATGGCTACCTTCCTTTCCTTGCTTAAAAAAAAATCACCTTGGAGAGTACAAAAAGACAAGGCAAAAAACTAGAAACCAGATGCAACTCGGAGCGAATATTTAGCAAAATGCTTTGAAATAATAGCCTCCATTAGTCTCGGCCAGTCCTTTTACCAACTAATGCATCTTGAATTGCCGTTACTTACAGTACCAATAATCAGGGTTTTAATAAGCAGCACTGCCAGAAGAAGCTGCAATATTTAAGATGAAAGTGGGGTTTGTAAATTCCTTCAGCTTTTGAGGTGGTGCGGTTGGTTGGCTCAAAACGCTCCAGTTTCCCCGTTTTCCACACGTCAGTTTGTTAAATAAATAAATTTACCGTGATGAATTGAGACCTTTGATTAAAGGAACAGAGGGATCAACCCGTTCCAATTTTTTTTGCTTTCGTAACTGATGTTTAGAAAACAGTTGAATATCACCCTTTTCAAATTCTTACCTCTCCTTTTCAACTTTTTGAAACAGACATTGGTGCTGATGTCCTGGATTTGGCAGAAACAATGGTTGCTACTGCAGATGGATTAGTCTATGAGCCAGTAAGTGGATTTCATTTTCTTGGTCCAAGGTGCAGTGACCCCTGACTTGTTAGGTATTCCTGGGGTGAAGAACATTAAAACTATTTATCCCCACATCACTCTTGTTTTACTGAGCCTGCCTGAATATCCACGGTATAAGAAAATAGGACAGTAGGTGTCATCCATAGTCAGGAGTGCCATGAGATGCTATGTAGAGTCGTGAGGGACATGGGAACCGTAAGCAGAAGATGGATTTTTGTGTTCTGTCCCAGCCTATGTGAGTCCTTGTTAACTCACAAGGACAAACCCCTCTAATGTTTTCTTTGCCCTGAAGGAAGCAAGCTATTTTTTCTGTAACTTAAGACGGAACCGAAACTGCCGTATCCACTTCACACCTATCTAACCGCAGCGGCTTTGGTTGCCAAAGTTGTCACGCTGTAGTGATGATAGGACAATGGCTGGGAGCCAGAATAAATGGCGTTGCAACGACGGTTAATCAAGCTTCCCTCATGAAGCCAAACAAAAATGGAAAATAAACAAATGGACAAAGCAGGAAATGACTTGTTGAATTATAATGTATAAGTTAACAGGTGCTCATTGCTAGATTATTTCTTCAGCTTCAAGTAGCTTTTCTTGGTGTCACCTCTGGTAATTCTGCCCACCGTAACCAGCAGCATCAAAGTCCGTTGGGATGAATATAATTATTTGGTGCCTTCAAGTCAATTTTGACTCTTAGCAACTGCCTGAGCAGGTCCCTGCAGTTTTCCTGGCAAGGTCTTTCAGAAGTGGTTTGCCATTGCATTCTTCCCAGGGCTGAGAGGAAGTGACTGGCCTGCGGTTCCCATCTTTTAGCCTCCTGACCTATGCTGAATTATCTTTTTGTGCAGCTTTCTTAGACTCCTAATTTTTTGTTTGAGAAACAAACTAAGACAGTGTTTGTCTTGACTTTGAGGATTTGTTTTTTGTTTTAGGTAATATTTGAACTCAGTCCGTTGCAAAGAGAATGGCAAAGGTAATAATTCAATAATTATAAATAATCACAATTCATTGTCTATCCAAGAACACCTTATTCCAACTTTGAACTGGCCAAGTACTCAAATCGTTCCATTGATGAGCTGGAGCTGTGCAGTATTCACTGCTAACGTTGCTTTATTGTGCAAATGTTTCGCTGTTGTTAGAAGTGCTGCTGTACGACAAGAAATGGCAGAGTCTGGGGGGCAGAGTTAAAAAAGGCGTCAGCCTAGAATCCCTACATGGCCACATGAGAATTACAGTAGTGGCCAAAATTGTGGAAACCTTTTGGGGAAAGTGTATTTTTGAGGTTTGATGGCTAATAACACCACTTTTTGGGGGGGAATAGTACCATAAAATTATATATCAATGGAAAGATAATTTAATCAAGAATGTCATGCAACAAAGTTTGTTCAATTATCTGTACTGTATTCTATGAAAAGTTATAGCCAAATAACCAGAAAAAGGAAAAACAACTTGCTTAGGTTGATCTCAGATAGCTTTCCTTCATCTGATTGTGGCCAATGAGCAGGAGTGTTTAGAGAGCCAATCAGGTGTCATCTTGTTTTGGCAATGAGCCAATCAGATCACAGTAGGATTCAATGATCGATGTCATGTATTGAAGCCGAGAGGAGGACATTTGTCAGTGTGTTACGTGATCGCTATCAAGTCGGTTGGGTTTTTTTGTGCTCTTTCATTTAGTGAGCTTGTAAAACGTAATAAAATTAAATGGTGCAGAGAGTTGACTGGTCACCCAGAAAGCGATGTAAAATAGTATTATTCAGTGAACAAGGCTACAGTTATAAAGAAATTAGAAGAAGAATTGGTGGAAACTTAACCAAAGGTAGCATTTCTACTGTACACTTTTCCCAAAAGGTTTCCACAATTTTGGCCATTACAGTAAGTCCAACTTCCGTTGACTCAATCTAAGCAGATTGAGAAGATTTGTTGATTATTTGAGAAGATTCTTGTGCAGTAGACCAGTTTAGTTGAACCTTCACGCGTGGACCTGATAGCTGAATCTTTTGTCTTTTGCTTTCCTTCTAGGATACTACAAAATATTCAGTCTCGGCTGCAGGAAGAACACTCTCTTCAGGACATAATATTCAAAAGTGCTTTTAAAAGTGCTTCCACAGCACTGCCACCAAGGTGAGACGGTGGCGTCACGGGATCTCCTGGCCTGGAGGGGGGGGGAACCATGAAAAAGAAGTAATGTAATCCAAAACATGCCAATTCAGAGATAAAAGCCACGATGTTGACCGTATTTTGTAGAATCGATAGACGAAGGCTTTTCTCGGTCGGAGTGTTTTTCATACACAAAGTGATAAAGAAGAAGAAGAAGAAAAAAGCTGAAAGAAAATGTATGTGAGACATATGCAGGGAGTCCTCGGCTTAACGCCCATTTTTTTTCCCCGCGAGCGTTCAAAGTTACGGCGATGCTGGAAAAAAATGGATGTACCACCGAGCCTCGGAGTTTCAGCCATCTCAGTGGTCCTGTAATCATAATCCAGGCACTCAGATGACCGGCTCACAATTACGACGTCGCAGGGATTGTGGCCACATGGTTGCCATTTGCAAAATTAATGGGGAAGTTGGCAGAGAAGGTATGTCTAGTCCAGGGGTAGGCAACCTTGGCTCTTTTATGACTCATGGACTTCAACTCCCAGAATTCCTGAGCCAGCATGGCTCAACTTGGAAACCTCTCCCTTTCCCCTCAGCATGGCTGGCTCAGGAATTCTGGGAATTGAAGTCCATGAGTCATAAAAGAGCCGAGGTTGCCTATCTCTGGTCTAGTCAATCAAAAAGAAGGATTAAGGGGTGACGTGATCGCAGTCTTCCAATATTTGAGGGGCTGTGACAGAGAAGAGGGGATTGACCTATTCCCCGAAGCACGTGAAGGCAGGACAAGAAGCAGTGGAGGGAACTTGTTAAAGATAGATCCAGCCTAGAACTAAGGAGAAATTTCCTGATAAGTGATTTTAATCAGTGGAACGACTTGCCTCCAGAAGTTGTAGGTGCTCCATCGCTGGAGGTTTTTAAGAAGAGCCTGGACAGCCACTTGTCCGGAATGATATAGGGCAGGGGTCTTCAAACTTGGCCCTTTTGTGACTTGTGGACTTCAACTCCCAGAATTCCTCAGCCACCATGGCTCAGCTTGGAAACCTCTCCCTTTCCCCTCAGCGTGCCTGGCTGAGGAATTCTGGGAGTTGAAGTCCACAAGTCATAAAAGGGCCAAGTTTGAAGACCCCTGGAATAGGGTCTCCTGCTAGAGCAGAGGGTTGGACTAGAAGATCTTCAAGGTCCCCTCCAACTCTTTTTTTCTGTATTCCGAGATGCTCTGGTAAGTCACTCCCAATTTTTCTCAGTTTGTGAGCTTGTATCTACTTTTGTGATCATTGGGGACCACTGCAAAATTGCCTACGTAATCTACATTTTCCGAGAATTTGTACTTTTGCAAGGCCTCGAATAATGGCCTGCCAGACGCCGGCACGTCCATCAAATGTGAAGTGCTACTTTAAAAATTGCATTTTTTTTCCCCTCTCCGTACAGGGAAGACAATCCCGTACAGTCGGCCGACGCCTGCAGAATTCATGGACATCTCTACGTGAATAAAGTAGCAGGCAACTTTCACGTTACAGTGGGCAAGTATGTTCATTTCATTTCCTGAAACACCTTAAAGTTTGCAACTTTGAGAATGCCTGTGGACTTCAACTCCCAGAATTCCCAGGAATTCTGACAGTTGAAGTCCACGTGTCTTAAAAGTTGCCCTGCTTGGGAAACCCTGCTATAAACGAACCCACATAAAAGCACTATTTCTAGGAGCAGACCAATAATGCAGCTGTATGTAGGTTTATTTGGAAGTCTGTTTACGAAAACAAGCATTCCTGTCCTTGATTATTTCCTTTGGAAATGTGTTTCAGGTCCTTGTTTAAGTCTGCTTTTTGATAATATTCTTGAGTTCCAACACAACCCTTTTCTTTTTTTCCCTTTCTTTTTAGGGCCATTCCCCACCCAAGGGGCCACGCACATTTGGCAGCCCTGGTGAGCCATGAATGTAAGTCAGCTCCGTTTCTTGGTGTGGAAGTGTTATTTGTCGCAGGGTCCTTGGGACCCATAATATCTAGAACATAGAATAATAGAATTGGAAGGGACCTTGGAGGTCTTCTAGTCCAACCCCCTGCTCAGGCAGGAAACCCTATACCATTTCAGACAAATGGTTGTCCAATCTCTTAAAAACTTCCAGTGTCGGCACATTCACAGCTTCTTGTGGCAAGTAGTCCCGCTGATTAATCGTTCTCACTGTCAGGAAATTTCTCCTTATTTCCAGGTTGCTTCTCTCCTTGATTAGTTTCCACCCGTTGCTTCTTGTCCTGCCCTCAGGTGCTTTGGAGAAGAGCTGGACTCCCTCTTCTTTGTGGCAGCCCCTGATAATATTACTAGACATATTCTTTTCAACTCACTAAAATACTTTGTGACATGCTCTGCCAAAGCAGCAGGCCTATGAACGGGTGCTTAAATTAAGGCACATCACAGCTACAACTAGATTTTGCAGCGTGGTTGAGCTGAAGCAGGAATGAGACACCCTTCTCCTTATTGCTTGGCACCCGTGTAAATGTTTTGCAGATGTTTTTATCTCCAGCCACTGCCTGCTTTCTTACAAAACGCTGAAGCATGATATTTGTTGAGGCAAATATCTTGAATTGAAGCCATTAAGGGTTTTCAGGCTCTGCCCAAAGATTTTAAAAAAAAATAATGCTATACAGGCAGTTCTTAACTTAACATCAGTTTAAAATATCTTTTCTAACTAATTATTGTTATAATAATAGTAATAATAATAGTAATAATAATAGTAGTAGTAATAATAATAATAATAATAATAATAATAATAATAATAATAATAATAATAATATAATACTAATACTAATACTAATACTAATAATAATAATAATAATAATAATAATAATAATAATAATAATAATAATAATAATAATAATAAAGTTGGAAGGGACCTTGGAGGTCATCGAGTCCAACCCCCTGCTCAGGCAGGAAACCCTACACCATTTCAGACAAATGGTTGTCCAGTCTCTTCTTAAAAACATCCAGTGTTGGAGCATTCACCGCTTCTGGAGGCAGGTTGTTCCATTGGTTAATTGTTCTAACTGTCAGGAAGTTTCTCCTTAGTTCTAGGTTGCTTCTCTCCTTGATCAGTTTCCACCCGTTGCTTCTTGTCCTGCCTTCAGGTGCTTTGGAGAAGAGCTTGACTCCCTCTTCTTTGGGGCAGCCCCTGAGATATTGGAACACTACTATCATGTCCCCCCCTTGTCCTTCTCTTCATTAAACTAGACATACCCCAATTCCAGCAACCGTTCCTTATATGTTTTAGCCTCCAGTCCCCTGATCATCTTTGTTGCTCTTCTCTGTACTCTTTCTAGAGTCTCAGCATCTTTTTTACATCGTGGTGACCAAAACTGGATGCAGTATTCCAAGTGTGGCCTTACCAAGGCCTTGTAAAGTGGTATTAATACTTCTCGTGATCTTGATTCTTGTGTCTTCTGTTGTGTCTTCCAGCATACAATTTCTCCCATAGGATAGATCACTTGTCTTTTGGAGAGCTTATCCCAGGCATTATTAATCCTTTAGATGGCACGGAAAAGATTGCATCAGATCGTAAGTGGGTTCTATTTATCTGGGGGGGGGAACAAAATCAGGTTTATCTGTTGTTCCGCTTGGATTACAATTTTCTTCTTGATTTCCTTCGATGGGATTTATCGCGGCATTTCGGTGGCATTTTTCTAAATCACACCTCCGTTGAGATCTTAATAATCATAATCGGTAGCGTAATAGGTTTCATAAATAAATTTGTCGTTTTCACGGAATTTTGCCTTGAGAACGATGGCACATTTTTCTGTGGAACCTCTTTCGCTTCCCCCAAATTATTAACCTATTTACATAAAGATTAATCAGCTTACTTGAGGGGTGTGAGCCTTTTATGTAAGCACAAGGGAACAGATACAGATAAAGAGGCACGAGAGACTTAGACACAGGGATTCCATTTTAATTGTGGATAAATGAGTTTATCTCAGGTTTAAATCCGCTTTGAAGCTTTCTCTGTGACATGGAATAAAACCAACAATGTAGGCTTGTGCTCAGACTGTTGTTTTTCCTATGCGATGAATTTTGTTTTAATTGACTTTTTTGGGGGGGGCGGTTGTTTCTACAGACAATCAGATGTTCCAGTACTTTGTTACAGTGGTGCCGACAAAACTTCAAACGCACAAAATTTCAGCAGAAACGCATCAGTTTGCAGTAACAGAAAGGGTAAATCCAGGCTTTTTTTTAAAAAAAAGTAATTTTTAGAAACAATTTGTGTGTGTGAGCTGTAGGTGCTGTTTTCCTCTGTTGTTTCCTTTATGATAAAAAAGTAAAATATTTTAGAAGTATTTTGTATGTATGAGCTGTAGGTGCTATTTCTTCTGTTGTTTTCCTTTATGATAAAAATAATAGACTAGGGGTGACATGATAGCAGCGTTCCAATATCTCAGGGGCTGCCCCAAAGAAGAGGGAGTCAAGCTATTCTCCAAAGCACCTGAAGGCAGGACAAGAAGCAACAGATGGAAACTCATCAAGGAAAGAAGCAATTTAGAACTAAGGAGAAATTTCCTGATGGTTAGAACAATTAACCAGTGGAACAACCTGCCTCCAGAAGCTGTGAATGCTCCAACACTGGAAGTTTTTAAGAAGAGACTGGACAGCCATTTGTCTGGGATGGTATAGGGTTTCCTGCCTGAGCAGGGGGTTGGACTAGATGACCATCAAGGTCCCTTCCACCTTTTTTATTATTATTATTATTATTATTATTATTATTATTATTATTATTATTATTATTATTATTATTATTATTATTATTATTATTATTATTATTATTATTAACAGATGTTTATTATTATTTATGCAATAAACAGATGTCCATGCAATGTCTGTAGTTAAATTATTTCCAAATGTTTCTCTTTTCTAACGTTCCTTAATATGTGCCAGCCCTTCTGAAATAAATTTTAAATAATAGTCACTTACATCTTGATTTTAGGTTTTTTTTTTTTTAGTAGACAATATTTCAGTGTTTACGTTAACGCCATTTCCATTCAGACTGTTGCTGTTTAGATCAGGGGTATCCAACCTTGGCAACTTTTAAGACTTTTGGACTTCAACTCCCAGAATTCCCTAGCCAATTCCCCAGCTGGCTGGGAATTCTGGGTGCTGAAGTCCACAAGTCTTAAAAGTTGCCAAGGTTGAACACCCCTGATGTCGATGGGCTCTGATTTCTGTCTTGTGTACGTAAATCAGAATCTTCATTTGTCTTGGACCTAATACGGGTAGTCCTCAACTTATGACCACAATTGACCCCAAAAATTATGTTGGCAAGTGAGAAATTTGTTAAGTGAAATTTTCCCCATTTTACGATTTTCCTTGCCCCATTTGTTAAGTGAATCACTGCAGTTGTTAAATTAGTAACACGGTCGTTAAGTGAATCCGGCTTCCCCATTGAGTTTGCTTGTCAGAAGGTCACAGAAGGGGATCACGTGACCCCGGAACACTGTCATCGTCATAAATACGAGTCAGTTGTCAAGCATCCAAATGTAAATCCGGTGACCACGGGGATTCTACAACGGTCATAAGTGTGAAAAATGATGATAAATTGCTTTTTTCAAACGGTCACTGAATGAACTGTTGTAAGTTGAGGACCTACACGTATGGTATTGCAAAGCTGTCCCTGATTCGGTTTCTGTATCGCCGCTTTCCCTAGGAGCGCATAATCAACCACGCCGCCGGAAGTCATGGAGTTTCTGGAATTTTCATGAAATACGACATCAGTTCCCTCATGGTGACGGTGACCGAGGAACACATGCCTTTCTGGCAGTTTTTAGTGAGACTCTGTGGTATAGTTGGAGGAATTTTTTCCACCACAGGTAAATAAATACCTTCTGCTCTATTACAGATTATTACAAGACGGTTTTTAAATGAGTCACCCCCAATTTTATGACCTTTTTTTTTGGCAACAATTGTTAAGCGAATCGCCACAATTATTAAGTGAACCAGGTATCATGGTTCCGACAGGTGAAAGTCTTCAAAGAACCTCAAGGCATTGTTTACCTAGCCCCGGCCAGGTGGGTTAGTAAGTCCTTAAAATGACACCAGGTAGTCCTTAAATGAACCCAGCGTTCCCCCACCCCCGCATTGACTTTGCTTGTCGGAAGCTGGTTGTGGAGTGTGCGAATGACAATCCCGTGAAGCCTATTGCAGTTGACTTTGTTTGTTTGTTTTTTCCCTTCAGGATGGTCCCTGATTCTTTTTGAAATTAATTTTTATTTTCGTACTTTCTCCTTCAACAAACCATTTCAGAGCTTTCTAAGGGCTAGTTCCCGCGTTACGCATTTTAGATCTTTTCTTGGGGCCTTTCCCCATCTGTCCGTTTTGTAAGGGGGGAGTCCGGATGTCAACGCTGCTAACGTCGGATGTTCTTGCTTTGACAACATACGGAGATGCAGCTATTTTCCTTCTTATGTTTTACTCTTAGAATTAGAGTTGGAATTAGATGATGGGGGGGGAGGAGGAATGTGTATGGGGGTTAGTTAGACATAACAATATTGTAATAGTGTGAGAACCAAGGTTTTTTGAAATAAGAGATGATAAGAAATGGCGGGTTGGAGAACTGGAGGGAAAGCCTGCATTTCAAACTAATTGGAGAATGTGATTTATGACTGTTAACTAGAGGAGGGAATTGTGCTTTGATACTATGTGCTCAGGGGAGGGGAATTCAGATTTTGGCTTTGCTATGTACGTGCCGATGCGATGCTACTCGAATAAAGATTCTTTAAGGTACACAATGCCTCTAAGTTCTTTGAAGAGCTTCGTCTGTCGGAACCATGACATTAAGCCAAAAACCTTTAAATCTATTTTAAAGGTCTTTTCAACAGATGGTTCAAAATTTGCAGCAGTCTGCTCTGATCTAAAGCTTCCCTTTTTCCGAGCCGACCAAACGTTGGGCTTAAGAATTATAGGAATTGTGATCCGAAAGGCAATGGAATGGGGAAAGCGCTTTCAGATTACAGATTTATTTTGGGGGCGGGGGGCTGTAAATTGTGCACCCCAAAAGCAGCACCGGTCCGGGAGTTAGGATTGCTTTGGGTCTTCTGTCCAGTGTGGTAAAATTGGCTCTCAGCCTCATCATTTCACACTCTGAATAATGACCGCATAACCACAATTACAGCATCGGACGATAACCAGCGTCACCGAATGTTCCATTTTGTTCTCTTGCTGTAGGCATTTTACACAGCGTTGGAAGATTCATAGTGGAAATTCTCTGTTGCCGTTTCAGACTGAAGTCTTCTAAATCTACACCTGTAAGTATATCCCGAGTAACCCTTGGGCTTTAAGAGAAGAGAATACGTGTAGCTCAGGGTTGAACTGGGGGGTCCGTGGTGCTCTCTGAGCTTGGCTGTTTTCTTGCGGACGTTTCATGACCCAACTAGGGAACGTCATCAGTATGAGGCTTCTCAGATGTTTTCTTCCAAAATTAATGACAAGATTAAGCCAGGGGAAGGAAAGCTTAGAATATTTGGTCTTGTTATATGAGGAAAAATCACAGAGGAGTCCAAAGACAGAGATTGAACGTGTTAAATATCCTGATTCCTGAATTGAATACTGAGACCAGCCCATCTCTGAAACCAGGGCTCTTAGAGCAGGGGTCTTCAAACTCGGCCCTTTTATGACTCATGGACTTCAACTCCCAGAATTCCTCAGTTGGCCATTTTGATGAAACTGCAGGCATGGATCCAGACCAGGGGTCTTCAAACTCGGCCCTTTTATGACTCGTGGACTTCAACTCCCAGAATTCCTCAGTCGGCCATTTTGATAAAGCTGCGGGCTTGGATCCAGACCAGGGGTCTTCAAACTCGGCCCTTTTATGACTCGTGGACTTCAACTCCCAGAATTCCTCAGCCAGGCGTGCCTGGCTGAGGAATTCTGGGAGTTGAAGTCCACGAGTCATAAAAGGGCTGCGTTTGAAGGCCCCTGTCTTAGAGTATTCATTAAAGTCCATGAATACAGTGAATAAACATTAGCAGTGGTACTGCGATCGTGACAAAATCTGTGATACATCTTTTATTTATCTTTATTTTATTTATTTATTTGCATCCTGCCTTTATTAATTTTACTCAAGGCGACGAACATCTCCAACACACCTTCCTCCTCCTATTTTCCCCACAACAACAACCCTGTGAGGTGAGTTGGGCTAAGAGAAAAAAAAACTCGCCCAAAGTCACCCAATTGGCTTTCATGGCTGAGGCGGGACTAGGACTCACGTCTCCTGCTGATTGGCCCAAAGTCACCCAGCCAGCTTTTATGGCTAAGGCGGGACTAGGACTCACAGTCTCCTGCTGATTGGCCCAAAGTCACCCAGCTGATTTTCATGGTGAAGGCAGGATTAGAACTCACCACCTCCTGTTTTCTAGCCTTGAGCCTTAACCAGTAGACCAAATTGTCTTAACCCTTCCCAAATACAGCCGTTTTACGATTTTTTCTCTAAAAAAGGAATAGGTGGAGCTGAACAACAACGAGCCGAAATGCACGAAGAAGCGGGAGGGGAAAAAAAATAACTTCTCTGCTTCCTTTCTGACAGGTTCAACTTCCAGATAGTCAACGAAATGGCCACGAACCTCTTGTGACCGAGGATGCTACGGAATAGCCCGTCCTTCGGAAACTGTCGTCTTTCCGTCTCGCGGGGAAGACGTTTTTATAGCGAAACATTTGTGCAATATGTTAAAGGACAGTCCCGAACGGAGGGGAAAAAAACGAGCCTTTGGCAGCAGCAACAAAAAAAGGGAAAAAAACCCCATTAACTTTTCTGTGTTGACTTAATTGTCCTTTCAAGGATTCAAAAAAAGAGGCCGAGAGGATTAAGTCCGACTCCCTGGACAAGAACAGGACGGTGGTTGAGAGGAGACTGTAATTCAGAAACCGCAATTAAACCGTGAAACGATCCACTCTGCGTTCTAGAGCGTTCCAGAGTCTCATAACCGATAACGTTCAAAGGAATGAAATTGGAAAGAGATGTATTTCCCATAGGCACCCAGAGCAGGAAAATGTGCAGCCGAAACTCAGAAGTTACATAGTTTTGTTTTTAAAACAGGAAGGATGCAAGTTGTGATTTTAATTTTTGATTTTTAAAAAAAATCCCCTATCTTTTAACATGTAAAACTGCTGCCGTAAGAATCCCGGGAAATAGAGAATAATCGAACAAGAAAGTAAGTTAAAAATCTTGTCCTGGGACCCATGCAGCGTGTATACAGATTTTACGAATTGGCTGTTTAAACAAATGTGGAAAACCTTTTAGCGTATCGCTTGTTTTCAAACTTTCTGGGGCGGGGGGGAGAAATGGATCGATCAAAGAATTGTGGGCTCTTTGCAATGTAACCTGTTGAGAGTGATTGACAGCCTCTTTATCTAGGGACACTTGACAAGCTGAAGAATCCATCATGGTAATTGTTAATTTTCTTGAGTTTTAAGGTACCGTCCAATTGGATTGCGGTGCTGATCGCCGTATTTTTGTAGGCTGGTTCATACAGGTATATAATCACATCTTACAACAGTTTGTCTAGTGACTATTTGAAGTTGCAATGGCACTAAAAACGGGGGATTTAATGACCGTTTTCAGACTTATGACTGTTGCAGCATCCCCAGGGTCATGTGATCACACTTGTCAACTGACTCATATTTATGACTGTTTGCAGTGTCCCAGGGTCATATGATCCCCTTTTGCAACCTCCTAACAAGCAAAGGCAATGGGGGAGTCCGTTTCACTTCACAACCGTGTTACTAATTTCACAATTGCAGCGATCCACTTAACAACTGTGGCGAGGAAGGTCGTAAAATGGGGCGAAATTCACTTAACAAATGTCTCACTTAGCAACAGAAACATAAACCATGAATACTATACAATTTTTTTTTCCCGGTAAGGAAAAATTGCAATGAGTCACAAGGCATCCCAATTAGGTAAATTTCTGCTATTCCTATTCTGTCTGTTCAAGCAGAAAAGAACAGAGAAGCAACGGCTCAAATATTCTTGCGTAAAAGCCATGATGTCTCAAGTAGAAACTATAATTCATAAATTTTAAATATCTGGCAGTGCCTGTGTGTAGGAAAACTGCCTATTCTTTGCTCTGAAAGCCACATTTCATGATGATCTTTGGAAATTAAGCGTGCTTTAAACATTGTTACCTGTTGTCATTTGCCTTACTAGTCACTAGGTGCCATCACCATTCCACAATCACATTTTGGGGTGTGTGCATTTTGAGTACGAATTATTTAAAATAATATTTTACAGGCACCTTTGGATCAAAAAGTAACTTACTGATTTTCAATCAATGGAGATACACACACACACACACACACACACACACACACACACAATATCAATTGATAATGAAAAAACTGCAATATTATACTGGATTTTGGCATAGGAAATTATTTGGAATGTATTAAATGTTCTCGTGCAGAGTCATATCCCGACGGCAAGTAAAATAACATTTTTTCACATGCAGCACTGGGGTACAATTTGTAGCTGTATTTAATAACCCTTGAGAACTGACCCATAAAATCAGCAAAACATGAATCCCACTTATTGAAATGAGTATTTTCCAGTTTCGATTGCTTGAGAAACATCAAGTTCTCGCGTAATTCATTCTCATTAAGCTTTTTATTTATTTATTTTAAAAAAACTTTCCTGATCACGACTAAATCCTAGAAATAAAATATAGATTAAATAGTTAAGAGACATAGAGATAGATGATATAGCTACATGATATAAAGATGAGAGAGAGAGAGATGGATGGATGGAAGGATGAGAGATGAGATAGAGAAACATAAGAGATAAGATTGATAGATGATAGAGACATAGGATGGGTAGATGATATATAGAGAGATAAGATAGATATAGCTTAGATACTGTAGATCAGTGTTTCTCAACCTTGACAATTTTAAGGCATGTGGACTTCAACTCCCAGAATTCCACAGCCAGCAATGCTGGCTGTGGAATTCTGGGAGTTGAAGTCCACATGCCTTAAAATTGTCAAGGTTGAGAAACACTGCTGTAGATGATAGATTATAGATAGATGAGATAGAGAAACAAGATTGATAGATGAGAGAAATATTGGATAGGTAGATAGATAGATAGATAGATGATAGATAGATAGATAGATAGATAGATAGATAGATAGATAGATAGATAGATAGATAGATAGATAGATAGATAGATAGAAGGATGAGAGAAGGGAAACAAGATATAAGATTGATAGATGATAGAGAAATATAAAAAGGGTAGATAATATATACTGTATAGAGATAAGATAGATATAGCTTAGATACTGTAGATGATAGATTATAGATAGATGAGATAGAGAAACATAAGAGATAGATAAGATTGATAGATGAGAAATATAGGATGGATAGATATAGATACAGACAGATGTGATATAGGTAGATTAGATATAGCTTAGATACTGTAGGTTGATAGATGAGATAGAGAAAGATAAGAGATAGATAAGATAGATGATAGAGAAATATAGGATGGATGGATAGATTAGGTAGACAGACAGATAGATAATTAGAGATGAGAGAAAGAGATCATTATACTGGGTATTCTTTTAACCTTATTACTGATAATAGGTCTCTAAGCTGTCCAATCAGATATTTTGCACATTGTAAAAACAGACAAGGCTGACAAAAGATCGCTCACTAGCATTGCTTTAGACGTTCTCAGAGGAAATGGTTCAACTTCAGATTGGGATGTAGGAAGACTTGTTAAGAATGACTAAAGTGTGCGTATAACGTAGTGCAGCTAAACCATCTGTTTCTTCTGAATTCAATAAGGCAGGGCAAGGAAAGCCCAATCTCTTCTAGGAAAAAAATCAAAACAAAACTCGCTGCTAGGCTCACATTTTGGGGGAGCTGAAATGGCTTCAGCATCTGCAGGTTGGTGGAAATGCCTGCGAAGGAACAAAATATTCAACCGCTCCATAGAAACGTTAAGCGTAGGCAGCGGTTCAAGGAAAAAGGCCATCAGATCACACGGAAATTGCCGCTTGGTAAAGCAGTTCCGGTACATGTTGCTTAGACAAGGTCATGAATTCAGAGAAAAACAGTTGGATGAGAATTGCTTTTAGGATAAATGCAATTATCAGAGCAAAAAGGAGAGTCTTGAACTTGGCTTTTTCACGAAGCAAAGACAGAAGTAGCTGGGTTTTTTTTTTTAAAAAAAAACAGTCCAAAGTTTTCTTACCGAATAAAATAGTCCTTGAACTTACCACAGTTCATTTAGTGACCGTTCAAAGTTACGATGGCATTGAAAAAAGGGACTTATGACCTTTTTTCACACTTATAACCTTTGCAAAATCATGTGATCAAAAGTCAGATGCTTGGCAACTGGCATGTACTTAGGACAGTTGCAGTGCCCCGGCGGTCACGTGATCACCATTGGTAACTTTCCCGGCTGGATTCTGACAAGCAAAGTCAATGGGGGAAGCTGGATTCGCTTACCGACTGCACAATTCACTTAAGAACCGCAGTGCTTTGTTCAACAACAGTGGTGAATAAGATCGTGAAATGGGCTGCAACTCAGTGTCTTGCTTGGGTTCAATTGTAGTCAGAAGTTGAGAACTACCTGTAAGAAGACCAGCTGATATAATGAGCTTATCTACATTTCTGATTAATATAGTTGCCAATCCTTCAGAAATTCTGATATGGCCTGGGCTGGTCCCTATTTAAAAATCTAACGTAAAACTATCAAAACAATGCCTGGTGATATTTATGCTTGAACATGAAATCAGATGCTCTAAGGAGTATTTTACATAAAGAATGCAGAGAAGAGCAACAAAGACGATCAGGGGACTGGAGGTAAAACATACGAAAGTTGCTGGAATTGGGTATGTCTAGTTTAATGAAGAGAAGGATGAGGGGGGACATGATAGCAGTCTTCCAGTATCTCAGGGGCTGCCCCAAAGAAGAGGGAGTCAAGCTATTCTCCAAAGCACCTGAAGGCAGGACAAGAAACAACTGATGGAAACTGATCAAAGAGAGAAGCAACCTAGAATTAAATTAATTAAAAAGTAATTCTTAATTAAAAAAAAAATCAGATAGATGCTCCTCAGGCTTAAATCCAATTAATTAAACAATTACATTGATTCAACCAACTAATATTAAATCATTTGTGGCCTGACAAATTATCCTTTCTTTTTTTTCATCCAATATAGGAGAGCCATCTGCATCCCACTGTCAGAGTTTGGGGAACAAATTTAGCTGTGAAATGCAGGCAGAAATCCAAAGTGGAATACGTGTACTGCGGGAAGGGGGGGGAAATGGCTTATGTAAGCAGCAAACTTAATAACCTGGTTTGCTATAAAGTGACAGTTCCTGGCATTGTTGCAAAAGGTGCCATCAAAGGTTTCATATCTTTCCGGGCAGAAATATACCCCCTTTTTCCATTTTTGCAAATGCTAGTGAAATTTAAGCAAGAGGTTGCAAACAGAGCTAGGGGGAAATTTAATTTATCCACCTATCTTCAAGGGAACTGGTTGGCTTGAAAAAAGATACAAAAATAGGCTATTTGGGTTGGGAAGACTCAATTTTGCAGTGCATCGGGCAGATATTAACACACACACATACACACACACACAAAGCAATCGGGGACAAGCTCAGTATATAACAGCTAAAAAGAAGTGTTGCCGTGTGCGTTTTTGTGTACTGCATCACATCCTCTTTTATTTTTTTTGTGTGTGTGTTTTTTTAGGCTGCAACAGAAGTGGAAAAGCAAGACCTCTGCAATTCGGTTTAGAAAGCTGATGCCCCAATTCTTTCTCTAATCATAAATCTTCAGGCAACATTTCGTTATGAAATAAGGAGTTGCTCTAAGGAAAAGCGGGTTTTTTACACAATTTCAGCTTCTCGCTGACGATTTGCCTCCACCCAAATTAGTTTTAATATTCCCTCTCTTTCTGAAACCATGTCAAATAGTCTGCTTTTCTATTAAACAGTGACAGCTTATTTTAGAATGGGGAGGGGGGGACTTACACAAAGTAGTAATCTTTTAATCTCTTATATTGAATCTGCCAAGTGGTATTATTGGTAGAGTTGAGGTATCCAGGCGTACGTTATCTCAGTGAACTGAGTTACTGACACGCTTGAATCGGTATCAAAATATTTTATTTTATTTGAAATAATCATGAATAAAAACTCCGTTAACTGCGCGGGTCAGGGCCCAAATAATTTACAGAAGGAATTGCTTTGTTGAAGGTACAGAAATGCTGGTTACATTTTAATATATATATATACTGTTCGTACAGGTTTTTAAATTACACTTTTCCATATAAACAAAACAGTTGCGGAAAAATAAGGCTGTCTCGAGAGGGTCAAAATGATTAATCTGCAACCACACAGTCATTATAAACAATAGCCCTTTTTTCAGACTTCCAGATGGGGATTTAAACGTCCAGAATGCCTTGTGGGCTCAACTTATTCTTCAGGCTGTGTCACTAAAATCAAAGAAGTTGGCACTTTTTTTTTTCTTCTTGATAATCCCCCCCTTTTTTTTTTCAGGGAAAAAGCAGTCCCTGATTCCAGAAGCGTCAGGGTTCAAGAGAGCCGGCCAGCAGTGAAAAACAGAAAAGGAGAGCCACATAGTTAATAAAAATAATAATAATGAGTTGGAAGGGACCTTGGAGGTCTTCTAGTCCAACCCCCTGCTCAGGCAGGAAAGCCTATACCATTTCAGACAAAATATATCGTTACCAGTTGTAACACTGCAACCCAGATTCAGATCCCTGCTAACCCAAATCATAATTGCTTTCGCAAAACACAAAAAGGTCTGTAACACAGCCAGGTTTTGCATATTGATCATAAACAACTGGATAGTACCAAAGTCAATATATTGATAGAGACTTTCCTCACTATAGCCAGGTGCAGGATGCAGCATTCAGATGTGCAAATTCGTAACGGTAACTGGGAACCTATTTGTCCTCCCCACTGAGAAAACCATTTGGAAGGAATACAGAATAACAGAGCTGGGAGGGACCTTGGAGGTCTTCTAGTCCAGCCCCCTGCCCAAGCAGGAGACCCTATACCATTCCAGACAAGTGGCTGTCCAGTCTCTTCTTAAAAACCTCCAGTGATGGAGCACCCACAACTTCTGTAGGCAACTCGTTCCACAAATTGATTGTTCTCACTGTCAGGAAATTTCTCCTTAATTCTAGGTTGCTTCTCTCCTTGATTAGTTTCCATCCGTTGCTTCTTGTCCTGCCTTCAGGCGCTTTGGAGAATAGCTTGACTCCCTCTTCTTTGGGGCAGCCCCTGAGATACTGGAACGCTGCTATCATGTCACCCCTGGTCCTTCTCTTCATTAAACTAGACATGCCCAATTCCCCCAATTGTTTATTGCACAATTTGGCCTCCACACCCTACTCTCCCCTGAATGCTTTTCTACAGTCTCAGTAACTTTTTTTGTATCATGGCAACGAGACCTGGATGCAGGATTCCCAGTGTGATCTTACCATCGCAGTAACAAGTGGTACTAACACTTCATGCGATCTTGAACGTTTCAGATCTCCAGTGAGCCCAGCACGTCCCTGCAATTCATTAAAAGAGTCTTCCTTTTTCTGGCTTCCACCCAAAGCTGGCATTCATGTAACCTTTTATTAAAGGTCACATTAAATTTAATAAGTTAAATCCTTAAAGCAGCCGTAGCACCTTGGGTAGAATCTTGGGGGGGGGGGGGAAGTGAGCTGAAAAAAAGCCAGAGAAAAGAATTGGGCTTACATGAAGTATTTCATCCAAATTATTTTCAAATGCGCCCAAACGGGTGAGTGGGTGTTATCAAAAATTTACACTTAGGGTGCCTTTCATTTCCCGCTGTTTAAATCGCTTCTATATTTTAACTAATGTGCTTCAAACAATTAAATCGTATTGAATGATACCTACCGAAAGATATAAATAGAACAGGGAAAGCAGCAAAAGAGAATTAATTTAAACCTGATGGCATCCGAAACCAGAAGCAATACATTTTTTTTGTGCTGCCGCGCTTTATCCCTTTAATCTGGAATACTGAACACTGCTGTACAATTAATATTTGTGTTTCGTTTGAAAGGAAACCGGCGGTAATGCTGCATTTAGCAAGTACGTCAGCCGTCCTTCGACGAAACTTAACTTCAATAGTCTCATGTCCATTCTAGTGAATTAATCCAGCTAATCCAACGAAAAACTCTGCATCTTCTCGGCCAGCTCTTGCCTCATTCCAATGTGTTTTTTCAGGTTCTGCACTTCGTGTGACAGGTTGACGTCCCAGATAGACACGGAAGATGGCATCCCTGTGAAGAAAAAGCATTTAAAAATAATGAGCGAAGCTATTACACGCACAAAAATGCTGGACAGATTTGTTCAGTTCTTGCATTCGCTGTCTTTCGAAACAGGAACCAAAATAGGTGAATTCTAAACCAGGACTTATAAATTTACTATTTCCTCCTCCCCTGTATCCATTGGACATACTTTCTCATGCACATGTTCTTGCATTTTTTTTTCCTGATGCAGGCCAGAAATGGCTATTTGTTTATTTATGAAATTTATATGCCGCTCATCTCTCTACCTAAAGTGAAAAATGGCTGTTTCTCCATTGCCTTGACTGTTCTCTAAAAATCTAAGCAGGATGAGAGCACTGATGATGTTACCTAGTTTGGTAATGAAATGTCTGCAAGGAAACAACCAAGCTCAGAGAACACCAAGGACCCCACAGTCGTCGTCGTCCTCCTCCTCCTCCTCCTCCTCCATCATCATTCCACAAACCCTACTCTCTTCTAGCACTGATGATGTTACCTAGTTTGGTAATGAAATGTCTGCAAGGAAACAACCAAGCTCAGAGAACACCAAGGACCCCACAGTCGTCGTCGTCCTCCTCCTCCTCCTCCTCCATCATCATTCCACAAATCCTACTCCCTTCTAGCACTGATGATGTTACCTAGTTTGGTAATGAAATGTCTGCAAGGAAACAGCCAAGCTCAGAGAGCACCAAGGACGCTTCATTTACTAGTTCTAATCCTGCTTAGATTTTTTCATTGCACTGATGATGTTACCTTGTTGGGTAACAAAACGTCTGCAAGAAAAGAACCAATCTCAGAGAGCACCAAGGACCCCTTATTTCAACTCTGAGCTACGAATATTCTCCTCTATCGGAACTGGAAAATACTTGAATGGGAAACGAACAGAAAACGCCTTGGGCGAGATTAAACTGGAGACTAAACAAAACTGAACTCACAAGATGGCAACGGCAAGCCACAATCCCCATTATCATTGTGTGGAAATAACCAATAGTTAAGCTGAACTCAAAGGAGGATTCAAGACTTTATTTGCAGCAGGAAAAAAATAAGTTTGTTCTGGCGAAGAATCAACAGGTAAAAAGCTAGTAACTGGTTCTGATGGCCCAGAACTCACAATGAGTAAAAAGTGGGGTTAAGAAATTGTTGTAGGCTCCTTGGTGCTCTCTGAGCTTGGTTCTTTTCTTGCAGATGTTGCATTACCCAACTAGGTAACATCATCAGTTGTTATTAAGGAATGGGCATTGCTCTTATTTTTATATACAAGTGGCTTGCGCTGTCAGTATTGGTGAGAATGTTCTTGGCGATTCCTTGATTGTTTACTCTTAGCTTGTTTGTCTGAGTTGGTAGCTCCTTGATTAGGGTATTGTTTATTTCTTGAGTGTTGGTCTGCTGTTAATTGTGCTATTAACTTCTGCTCATCTGAGTGTTGATTGCGGGTGAGGATGTCATGCCAAACGCAATCATCGTACAAAAATGCAATGAAGGGGCCCTGAGGTAAGACATGTCTTCAGAAGTGTTTGCAGAGTGGCTTCTGGTTTGCGATTGCGGCGCTGGCGGACGTACGGCGTGTTCGCTCCCTTCACCGTCCGGTTTTCTCCTGCCGGGGGACCCTGAAAAGGGTCGAAAGTCACCCTGGAGGGGTGACAAGCATGAAGAGGACTCCCGAGCGATCGCGGAAGGGCGGCAGCCCTCCCGTTTGATCCCGGGGCGACTCTTTGAACTGACGGGGAAAAGATCGGCCATCTATGGCTCATCACCAAGCCGCTACCAGCCGAGGCCAAAATCACTAGCAAGCACTTTAAAAGCACCGTGGAGGAATTGGGTGAGATCCTACCTTCCTTTTACCCCAGGTATTTTTCCTGTAAAAAGCCTCTGGAAATTTCTTCCCCCTGTGAGAGAGGGAAGGGAACGTCTTTCTCCCACCCTCTAAAATGGCGGCTTTTGACTACCTAGGGGACATAAAGCCTTGAAAAGATCTACTAAATAATTGGATTTGCTTCTTTCTGATATTCTGGGACCCAAAAAGTTCCTACTTTTACAGGGATTTGCTACTCTATTTACTGCTTAAAAAGAGAAAAAAACCTAAACTGGATAAAAACCTAGCCCGAGACTTGAAAGATTTTAAATGCTATCGAGGACATCTTGTGGTGAAACCTGGTACAGCAAGTGAATATTCCTGACAAAAAGACCTGCTCAGAGCCCAGATCTGTCCTTGGTATTATCTAAAAGAGATTACAAGCTGAGAGAACAGCTGGGCGGTGAAATTTCTCTTTAGGACTGTGGAGGTGAATACCTACTGACTTTCGTTTAATAAATAGCCTTCACTAAAGGACTATCTATAACTACATCAGAAATGGAGGAGGACCAGCAACAAACTTCACTTAGCTATAAACTTATACTTGAGAAGTGTCTGCAGAGTGTGGTAAAAAATCCAAAATGGCAGCCATGGCTATGATTGAAGCTTTGCCTTTTTTTAATCACATCCTACAGATCACTTTGCAAGTGCTATTGATACACCTGCAAAATGAAGAACAGATGAAGAACGGACTGAACTTTTACCTTTAATGTGTTCGTCTTCACTATCCTCTTCATGGTTATAACCCAAGACCAGAACGACATTCTTGAAGGTGCCTTTGATTTTAAAAAAAAAGCAAATTAAAATACCACGTGTTATTCTTCATGGAAATGTTCCGTCGAAGCAGAAATGCTCCTGTGCATGCATCAGAAAGGGGGAATCTGAGGTTTTGCAGGTCTTCTTTTCCCCCTTTTGGAGAAAATCAGGAAAATCTTGCTTCTACCAGCCTCAGCATATCATCAGCTGATTCTCTGTATTTAAAGCAATGTGTGACTTATGATTTTGGTTTTGGAGAAATAGCTAGAGAGGATGAGAGAAATATTTGGCCACCATTTTTCAGGTGTGAACAACCAGATCCACAAGTGAAGAGTTCAATGAGGGATAGATAGATAGATAGATAGATAGATAGATAGATAGATAGATAGATAGATAGATAGATAGATAGACAGACAGACAGACAGACAGACAGACAGACAGACAGACAGACAGACAGACAGACAGACAGATATAGAGCGATAGAGAGACAGAGACAGAGAGACATAGATAGATAGACAGACAGACAGAGACAGAGACAGAGACAGGGATAGATAGATAGATAGATAGATAGATAGATAGATAGATAGATAGATAGATAGATAGATAGATTAGACAGACACACACAGAGAGACAGAGACAGAGAGAGACATAGATAGACCGACAGACATAGATAGATAGATAGATAGATAGATAGATAGATAGATAGACAGACAGACAGACAGACAGACAGACACAGAGAGAGACAGAGAGAGACATAGATAGATAGATAGATAGATAGATAGATAGATAGATAGATAGATAGATAGATAGATAGATAGATAGATAGATAGATAGATAAAAAGAATGACAGACAGAAAGATAGAAAGACAGAAACAGATAGAGAAAAAGATACAGAGACAGACAAAAAAAGATAGCAAGACAGACAGATATAGAAAGATATATAGATGATAGATAGTTAGATAACAGAGATGCAGATGTAGATATAGATATATATGTGTGTGTGTGTGTATGTATACCAGCGTTTCCCTAACTACATGCTGCTACAGATATAGACTATTTCTCAACAGTGCCTACATTGGCTATGAGTTCTAAAAATTCATAGCCAATATTCTGAAAAATTTGATACAAAGCAAAATCCTTCCAAGCCTAATGCCGATCGAATATTTCGTATTCAATTTCTTCTAAAAAGACCCTTTCGGTTCTGCCGTTTTGCTGTGCTTCATTAATAAGTTTCCAGACCAGGCGTGCTACCCTTCCCGCAAGCTGAAATAATGAAAATGACGTTAAGAATAACCATGTCTAAAATCAGCAAGGGGTGAGATGACAACCCTTCCCTGGCTGAGCCGTGTTGCTTGGGAACAGGTTATCAAAATGCATCAAAAGCATTTTGATCTGAAGATGAAACAGCTTGTTCCATCTTCTGCTGCTGAGATCCTTACTGGCTCTAATTCCACCATTACGGGAAGAAGACTAAAAAAAAAAAACCCTTGTTCCTACAACCAAGAGTTTTTTTCCCTATACAGGAAAGTCCTCGGCTTATGACCACAACCGAACCCCAAATTTATGTTGCTAAGCGGGACATTTGTTCAATGAGTTTCGCTCCGTTTTTACAACCTTTCTTGCCACCGTTGTTAAGCGAATCATTGCAATTGTTAAGTTAGTGACACAGTTATTAAGCGAGTCTGACTTCCTCCCCTTGACTTTGCTTGTCAGAAGGTCGCAAAAGGGGATCACGTGACCCCAGGATGCTGCGACCGTCGTAAATATGAGTCAGTTGCCCAGCCTCTGAATTTTGATCATATGACCCTGGGGATAGTGCAACGGTTGTAAGTGTGAAAGATGGTCATTAAGTCCCTTTTTGTCAGTGACTTTGGTCACTAAATGAACTGCTGTTAAGTCGAGGACTACAGGTATGTGCTTCATTTACCTAGTTGTGCGGTCCTCATCATTCTCACCGAACGGCAGAAATCGTGAATTATCCGAATGGGGAGGCGCGTGGACAGGTCCAGTAGTATGATGTGTCCTCCCCCGGTGCCGATCCACAAGGCCGTATTTTTCTGAAGACAAATGCTCTTCACCCTTCCGGGATACGCAAGTTTTTGTTTCGATTCTCTGTTCAGCTTTGGTACCTCCGCTCTGGAAAAATAAGAGAGCAGGTTATGTCCAAATTGTGTCAAATAACATCCTTTCGTTTGGTTTGCAACCGGTTGTTGTGTCTGGTCGTGCTGTTGATATACAAGTGGGAGGTCCGATTAAAAAAACAAACGTGTTTCGGGAAGGGGAAGTAGCGCTTTGAACTTTGAAAAATGACGTCGCTGGTTTCATTTAGAACAGTGGTTCTCAACCTTTTTAATGCCGCGACCCCAACCAGTCGTAAGTCGAGGACTAAACCGGTCGTAAGTCGGACTAAACCGGTCGTAAGTCGAGGACTAAACCGGTCGTAAGTCGACAACTACCCAACCGGTCGTAAGTCGAGGACTTTCCCTGTCCGGGAGCGCCGCGCATGCGTGGTTCCGCCCCCTGCACCGGCCGAGGCGTATCTGGCAAGCGGCAGAGACGGAGCAGGCCGACCACCAGCTGGCCCAGCCCAAGGGAGGTAAGGCACGCGCCGGAAAAGGGGGGAAAATGGTGGACAAAAAAAATGGCGGACAAAAAAAATGGCGGACAGCCTTGCTTGGCGACCCCCATGAAATGGTCGATCGACCCCAAATGGGGTCCCGACCCACAGGTTGAGAACCACTGATTTAGAACATAAAATAATAAGGGGGTCGGAAGGGACCTCGGGGGTCTTCTAGTCCAACCCCCTGCTCAAGCAGGAGACCCTGTACCATTTCAGACAAAGGGCTGTCCAATCTCTTCTTTAAAACCTCCAGTGCACCTACAGCTTTTGAATTCAAACCATTCTGCTGATTGATTGTTCTAACCGTCGGGAAATGTCTCTTATTTCTAAATTGGATCTCTCTTTGATGAACTTCCACCCATTACTTCTTGCCCTGCCCTCAGGTGCTTTGGAGAGCAGGTTGACACCCCCCCCTTCTCTGTGGCAGCCCCTCAAATATTGGAAGACTGCTATCGTATCATCCTTAGTTCTTCTCTTCGATAGACTAGTCCAGTGGTAGGCAACCTTGGTTCTTTTATGACTCGTGGACTTCAACTCCCAGAATTCCTCAGCCAGCCTGGCTCAGCTTGGAAACCTCTCCCTTTCCCCTCAGCATGGCTGGCTCAGGAATTCTGGGAGTTGAAGTCCACCAGTCATAAAAGAGCCAAGGTTGCCTACCCCTGGCCTAGACATATCTAGTTCTCTGAATCATATCTAGTTCCCTCAAATTTACTAATGTGTCTCTTAAAGCAGCTACCTCTTTTGCTAGCACACAAAGTTGATAAAGATGTGGCTGCCTTAATGAATAGGACAGAGATGACGCCCTCCCGGTTTCCAATGTCTGTATCCTGAATTATTTTTGAAGTGGGCACATCTCTACTGCGTACGCAAGCATAGTAAATTAACTGTTGCCGCAACCATGATTTTTTATCTCCTCCACCAGCCCATCCTTATTAAACTATAAAACAAAGATGCAAAACCTTTTTGTGAGTGCTTGGGAAATAAATTCATTTTTAAAAACTGGCCAAGAGTTAGCAGAGGGAATGGGTGGGGAGAAAAGGTGATCTGATGACATCACCTGAACTGGCAAGGCTAGAATATTTATCCTTCCTTCCTTCCTTCCTTCCTCCCTCCCTCCCTCTCTTTCCTTCCTCCCTCCCTCCTTTCTTTCTTTCTTTCTTTCTTTCTTTCTTTCTTTCTTTCTTTCTTTCTTTCTTTCTTTCTTTCTTTCTTTCTTTCTTTCTTTCTTTCTTTCTCTTTCTTTTTCTTTCTTTCTTTCCTTCCTTCCTTCCTTCCTTCCTTTCTTTCTTTCTTTCTGCTCAGTTAGGGCTTTTTATAAGTTTGTTAGAGATTTAACTTACCTGATAATACATTTTTAAAAAAAACCACACAGAGAGGAAATCAGACGCATTTATTTGTCCTAATTAACTCAGCCACCCGCGATATTGCTGACTCTGTGGGATATCTGATACTCACTTTAGTAGATGCACGCAGTCAATTAGTTCACAAAGCTGCTCCGTTTTTTTGTCCCAAATCTCAACAAGATAGCTTTCTTTCTTGGCCAAGTAGATAAATTTGTCCACTGCTATAGAAATAATATTGGCATCGCAATAGTTCTTGTGACATAATCTGGAACACAAAGAAAGCAATTTGGAAAATGGTGTTGTGATATTTATAACACAGGCTCCAGTACATAAAGTGATTAAAATGATAAGCAAACCAACATCCCGTGACAGTATAATCTATCTCTCTCTCTCTCTCTCTCCCATCTCTCTCTCTCTCAATTTCTAATTTCTCTCTCTCTCTGTTTCTCTCCATCTCTCTCCATCTGTCTCAATCTCTCAATTTCTCTCTTACTCTCTCTCCATCTCTCTTAATTTCTAATTTCTCTCCCTCAATCTCTCTCTCTCTCCATCTCTCTCTCAATCTCTCAATTTCTCTCTCTCAATCTCTCTCTTTTTCTTTCCATCTCTTCTCCATCTGTCTCAATCTCTCAATTTCTCTCTTACTCTTTCTCTCCATCTCTTTCTCTCTCAATTTCTCTCTCTCCATCTCTCTCTCAATTTCTCTAATTTCTCTCTCTCCATCTCTATCTATTTCTCTCTCTCTCTCAATCTCTCTTTCTCTCTCTCCCTCTCTCTCTCTCTCTCTCTCTCTCTCTTCCTCTCTTACCAAGGCACTATGAAGTGGTACTAATACTTCAGGTGATCTTGATTCTACCCCTCTGTTAATGTAGCCTAGGATTGCATTGGCTTTTTTGGCAGCTGCAGCACACGGCTGGCTCATATTTAAGTGACTGTCCACTATATAACCATCCCTCATAGTTGTGGCTATTTTAGCATCTCCAGGATCACATAATCACAATTCAGGTGCCTGGAAACCACCTCACAATTAAGATGGTTGCCTTGTTGACAAGCAAAGTCAATGGGGAAGCTGGCCGTGGTAGGAAGATGTGACTGGTGTGGGATTCACCTAAGGGATTCACACGAGGCTTGTGTTTTACAATCACATCATTTCGCGACAGAGTTGTCAGTCCCAATTACCATCATTGAGCAAGAAATTCTTTTCACAAAATAAAGGATTAAACAGAACGGTCTTTCTCGCCGCTTCTTTATTTTTGTTTTGTCGGGGCATTTTTTTCTTTCTTTCTTTTTTGAATGTGAAGGCAACGAAATAAATTTAAGGACCCTCAAAAATCTATGGGAGATACACAGACAGGCTAATTGGCGCCGCAGATTTTCAGACGGAGCGAAAAGCGAAGCCATTAAAAATTAAGTGGTGTTTTTAGGGCTGCAGGTAGAAGAGAGAAAACCTGGTAAAACGTAAGCGACACAAACGTACAGCTGACTCGTGTTGGTCTCAATGAGTTTGTGGGTAGACAAATCGCTGGACAACGATAGTATCTTCGTTCCACAGCCGCCCCAGAGTGTACTTTTGTCGGATGAATAATCTGATTCGCTTAAACACATCAGTGGTGTGCTGCTACTTCCAATGAGAAAAGTCCGTAAGGGTCCAGCACATTTGCCCTGCAGAGAGAAAATAAAGAAAATAAACATACAACGTGGAATAATAGGGCTGCCAGGGTCCTTAAAAATATCTGAAAAATACGGCTTCTTCGAATTGTGGAGTTTTTGGTTCTAGTACCAGCAGTCGTTTGTTGGACAATTAAATGGTGGTTATTGAAGTCTTCCTTATGGCGATCTTTTTCACCTTTCCTAGTGCGTGGAGCCAAGATTAGATGTACTTTCGACCCTGTACTGGCGACTTCATTTCTGTTCCTATCTCTTTCGAGCTTGTCGTAAGAAGTTTTACGAAAAGGTCTTCTGCAGTCACGACATAAGCCTGAAAATCAGGCTTGTCAGATGCTATGTTTTTCCTATCCTGCTCTATGGAGTAGAGAGTTGGTCTCTGACAGAAGGCCACCTGAAGGGACTAGAAGCATTTGAAATGTGGATTTACAGATGGCGGCTGTTACGTATAAGCTGGGTTGACAAGATCAGAAATGAGGAGGTGATAAGCCACCTGGGAAAGCCGAGGGAAATCATCAAAACCATTAAAAAACGAAAATTAGAATATTTTGGACAGGTGATGCGACGCCCAGAAAAATACGGCTTACTCCATTTAATCCTCCAGGGAAAGATGGAAGGCAAACGAGGTCCAGGCAGAAGAAGAACATCGTGGCTTCAAAATCTAAGGGTTTGGACAAAACTCAGCAGCACTTTTTCGTGCGGCTGCTGATAAAAACAGGATCGCCAACATGATCGCCAACGTCCGATAACGGATATGGCACAAGAAGAAGAAGAAGACCTTATATTATTCCGGACAAATGCCTGTCCAGTCTCTTCTTGAAAACTTCCAGTGATGGAGCACTCACCACCTCTGGAGTCAAGTCGTTCCACTGATCGTTTTCACTGTCAGGAAATTTCTCCTTAATTCTAGGTTGGTTCTCTCTGTAATGATCTTCCACCTGTAGGTTCTTCTCCTATTCTCCAGATTTTGGAGAATAGGTTGACCTTCTCTTCTTTGTGATAGCCCCTCAAGTACTGGAAGACTGCTATCAGATCACCCAAAGCATTATTTCCTCAAATTACTATCGCTAGTATACAGACACATACTCAGCACTTGTAAACCTGGAATGCCCTTGCAAATAATCTCACTTTTATGTTATTTGGGTGGTACTCAGAATGTAGAAGATCGGCCAAATATAGTGCATGTCTATGGAGAAAAATCTCATGGGACCAATGTTTCTCTCACCCTTAGCCACTTTAAAGGGTGTGGACTTCACTTCCCAGAATTCCTCAGCCACAGGATAATAAAATCAAAGAGAAATAAGCTGAAAAATAGTTTTTAATCCCAGAGCTGTAACCATATTAAATACTACTGCACAATGCGACATTGAAGGGCGATATTAGGGGCAGCGCAAGGGTGAATAGAATGTGAAGGATATGTCTAAATAATGTGTGTTTTTACTTGTGTGTAGTGTGCACTGTGGACAGCACTTAAATTTCGTTGTGAGATACACAGTTGTTGTGATTCCTCGCCAGTCAGTGGATCTGGCAGCTGCTAATTCGAGGACAATCTATGCAATTCTATATCGTGTTATAGCTTCCTCCATTCCTGCTATGAACAGCATCTGTCAAGATTTAAGAAAGCATAAACTTTCTATATCAGACATGTCAAACTTGCGACGTCACGTAACGTCACGCGACGTATCGGAGCTTTTTCCCCATTGCCGGCAATGGGGTGGGCGTGGTTTCCTGGTGATGCATCCAGCCCGCGGACTGGCAGTTTGACACCTCTGTTCTATTTTAATGCAAAGGCAGTATTTATTACAAGCACACATCTGTCATAATTACATATTTCTGGGAAGGCTGTAGTGAATATATATATATATATACCTTGACTGCTCTGTCCTCAAAAATGGCCAGCTGTCCATTGGCTGTGCCCACCAAAAAGATATTCCGGTACTTGCTGAAATTGAAGGAGAACACGCACAAACTTGTCAACAAAAGAAGACACGTAGCACTTAAGCCATGCAGTTAAAAGTGTAACCCTGGAGATAAGAAGAGCTGAAATTGCCAGCCCATTTGTTAAAAGAACAAGCTAGATACGTCAACCTCAGCCCCCCCCCAATTAGCCCTGTGCCAAAAGTCAGCAATAATTCTGGTCACGCGGTGCTCAAATCATACAATAATGTCTAAATACGGGTGAAAGTAAGTAAATCATTTTTTAAAAAATCAATATTTCTCTATTTTTGAAGCAATGTATGGTATGGAGTGGAATCTAAATTCAGCCATATTGTAGTAGGAAAAGGAGCGGTAGAATCTGGGGGCGGAGTCAAAAGAGGCCTCAGTCTAGAATCCCTACGTAGCCACAAGCAAACTCAACCCAGCCCACCTTGAATTCAGTTGACCCTTTATCTAACTCTACCAGGTGCTAACTGTTCGTTGAGAAGATTCCTGGGCATAGGTTTTTAGCAATAAATCAGTTTACTTGGACCTTCAGGTGTAGGCCTGATCTTTTGTGCTCGACACATACTTATGCTTTGACAAGGGACTGCAGTAAAGGCAGGTGACTGAATCTGACATGGTGTGAAACTGATGCCTGCGTTCTCCATCTTGGGTGTGAAAAGACCAGAGGGATCCTGACTGGGTTCCTGCAATCACCCAATTCTCCTTCGCTGCGGAAAAGGTAACCAAGGCCAAACATAATATTCTACTGTCTTCAACGTCCTGTGGGAAGAGAGGAAGGAGAGAAAAAGAGGGAACCTCTTGTCGTGATTCCGTGCCAGCCTGTGTTCCCAACAGCTGAGTCTGGGGAATCTGAGGAGGAGGTGGAGGAGGCATTTGGAGGGCCATCAGGGTCAGAGGGAGGCTCTGATGAAGAGCCTGGCCCCTCCAGTCGTGTTTCTGATGAAGCTCAGCTGTGTGAGGGGACTGAGTCAGACTTGGAGGATTCACACCTGATGGACATGATGACTGATGCTCGTAGACTCCGGCAATTAGCGAGAGCAGATCAGCAGCAGTCAATACGACAACTCCAGGGATAGGAGGAGAAGGCACTGAGAGGCAACGCCTTGGGACTGCTTTATAAAAAGGGAAGGTGTGGGCGGTGCTGGTTGCTGAAGGCAACCGTTGCAAAGTACTTCATGGGATCATGTTCTGTTAGTATTGCCGGTGACTACTTTTCTGTTTTGCATTGTGTTTCGTGTGGACAATTTCCTCCATTTGGATTGAGTTTTGCTGCTTTTGTTTCTGGACTATTTGGCAGGTTTGTTACCCATATTAAAAGGGGTTTG